ATAACAACAGCCAATGTTCACAACCGACCTAGTTAATCTATATAATAGGAATATCTTTAAAACATCTCATTTATATCTTTCAAGATGAAAAATGTCGTCTTATGAGCAATCTATCTTTATCTATGGTTGTAGACCTTAGATATTTCAAACTATGAATTCTGTTAGATCAAATATTCTGAATTTGAAATATCAAAGGTTTACAACATCAGATTCCAAAGGTTTACATATTTGAGTTTGTGCCAAAGACTCAATTCCTTTATAAATTGACTGTAAGAAAAAATAGAAAAATAGAAAATAGAATACCTTTATTACATCTTACATCATGTTTTAAGCATATCTAATATGTCGAGGTCTTGTTTTTGCAAAAGTTTTAGTCTAAAGTATCTTAAAATTTTGTGTTAACAGTGAATTTAGACAAATCCTTAGTCTTTGTCATTGTCAGCTGTTACTTTTTAAATTTGTTTCCTTTTAATTTTGTATTTTCCAGGGGGGGCAGGGCCCCCCCCCCTGGAACTCCCAGGGGGGGGCAAGAGGACTACTGCCCCCCCCCTATGTACGCCACTGAAATTTATACATGTGTTCTCAGATAGAGATGAAAAGTGCACCATTGGGAATCGGACATGCCATTGTTTTTAAATGAAGGGTCAATTGAAATTAAGTCTACAGTCCCTTTAAACCTGATACTAACACTTCTAAAGGGTATACTTTGTAATGCATCCTTTACTTAACCGAGTTAGAAAAACAAATTTTACTGCGTCTAATTTAAACTTAATATTCAAATCATACAAAACTGATTCTACAATGTTCACAGTTAAAAGTTCGACGGAGTCAAGGTTTTCAACAAAAATCTGGAATTATCTACTTTTTTCCAGTTTATATAATTTTTAATCTTTGTAAATTTATTTCTGAAAATCTAAACTCTAATTTTTTTTAAATTATGATTTCATTGAACTTATATTTCATGCTTAGTTATTTGTCAAATATTTTGTAGCATTGATTAATAAATAATAATTAATAATAAAATTTAACAAATATTTTGAACTTTTAATCAAAAAATTCTAAAATAATTAAACATTAATGAAACTAGTTCATTTGAAATAGATTTACTATTTTAAGAATAATATATATTTAGTCATTAAAAGGGGAAATGTGGATTAAAAAGGACTCTGTATTCTGTAAGAGTATATCTCCATGCAAAGATTACAATACCCGATTCACAGCGGTACCCTATATAGGTTTGTCCGATCTAACTTGTGTGAATTAGATATCAATGTTTAAAACTTTAAAAACTTGTTATTTCAACTAAGGATTCTCTATACATTAAGTGACTATTTCTACAGCGGGGTTACACGTGTACCGTTGTGAATCAGACATTGTCATCTTTTAATAGGGTCACTGGAAACTAAGTTTAGTTATCAGTTAAAATTTTTGTTCATATTTGTCGAATTAACGAATAAGTTACTTTATGTGCATCAACGGGTTTTTTTCTCTAATTTTTCTTTTTTGATAAATGTCAGGCAATTTTTAAAAATTATTTTTTGTTACAAGTTTGTTTATTCCGTGGTTAAAAACGTGTCTAGATATCGTGATTGATGATTAGAAAATCATAATAAATGACCAAAATAATTAAAAAATTTCAGTTTTGTTCATAAATAAATATAAGATGGTTGAATTGTTAATTATAGAAAGGAGGATCGAGGGATATAAAGGCTAAACAATATTTAAAATTATCAGTTTATACCAGGACCAGCTCATGCCCTACAACAACTTGTAAAGGTAATAGTCCCACAGTGCTCCAAACCAGTTTTTTGTCCCATTGTCCCAAAGTGGTTCAAATAAGTTTTTTGTCCCATTGTCCCACAGTGGTTCTAATAAGTTTTTTGTCCCATTGTCCCACAGTGGTTCTAATAAGTTTTTTGTCCCATTGTCCCAAAGTGGTTCAAATAAGTTTTTTGTCCCATTGTCCCACAGTGGTTCTAATAAGTTTTTTGTCCCATTGTCCCACAGTGGTTCTAATAAGTTTTTTGTCCCATTGTCCCACAGTGGTTCTAATAAGTTTTTTGTCCCATTGTCCCACAGTGGTTCAAATAAGTTTTTTGTCCCATTGTCCCAGTGTGTTAAAACTTTTTTTGTCTCATGACTCACAAAGGTTCTTCTTAGCAAGTTTCTCTCGTGCCATAAAATGATTTAAAGAAGGTTTTATTAAGGGCGTTAATAAGGAGTTTGTGCGAAGAACATTTTTTTTACGCTAGAGATATTTTATAATTTGTATAAACCAAAACTAACGGAGAAATTTAAAGTTAAAACTTATAAAAGAATCAACCAGAAATTTATAGTTCAAAAATAAAGATGGGAGTTATAAAAAATAGAAAATAAGGATCAAAGATAATGTAAAAATTAACTTTGAAAAAAGTCGAGAAATTTTTTTTTCAAAAACGAAAATTAGACAGAAACCCATTTTTGAATCATGTCCGTTGTTCAAGTTTTAAAAGAACAAAGAAAACTTGAGTTTTTTCCACAAAAGCAAATAGTCTAATCCCTATATCTTTGCAACCTGATGGTGTGAACCTTCGACATTTCAAACTTAGATTATTTGAATATTTTAAATGGACTGAAAAATCAGAGTCTGTGACAAAAGCTCAATTCCTTTCTTTGATTTTTTTATTCTTCAAATCTTTTTTTTGCTAATTGAAAAAAATTACAATAAAAAATTCTGGGGTCAGATTCGTTTTTTTTTTACTTTCTTCGTTGTTGAAAAAACAGCATTAAATTTTTTAAAAAATCAATAAATTGGAAGCGTCAGAAAAGTCACAAAACAAATATAAAAGAATGTGTTTCCGTCTTTTTTGTTAAATTATATTTTTCTTTTAATTTTGATCTTCAGTCTCGGGAAGGTCTAAAATGAATTCTCCACCAAATATATCAACTAAACTCTTCCAGGGGAAAACTGATGAAGAAGAAAAGGTAATTATTTTATCATTTTCGAAACTTATTTCATAAAAGCAAAAAATTGCATTTTTTTCGCGAAAATTTTTTAATATCTGAAAGGTTATATATAATGTACATGTCCTTTAATCTTTATTCAAAACCAAACTTTTGTTAAAATTTTGTAATTTTTTCCAACTGATATATTTCTATAAAACATTCCCTTTCAAGGTAGAACTAATATTATTCAAAAATTACTGTTCATGGACCTCTGTGTAAGCTAGATAGTAGATACAGTCTAAAATATCCATATGTCAGAACTCATAATGTTGTGAATCTATGGAACAAACCTTGATCTCCATCTGCAGGGATAACTAAAATTACTCAAATTTAACAGTGCCCACATTGGATATCGAGATTTTAAACGTTCAACGATACTCTACAACAAGTTTAGATTTTGAATAAATGAAGAAGACTTTAAAAATTAAAACTAGATTAAAATCTGTAAAATCGTCTTTTAAGTTTATTTGTTGAACTACCCTAGAGAGTTATATAGACAGATTTAAAATAGAACGATTTCATTGAGAAGGTCATATTTATTGAACATTGCTGGTACGACTTTGCGACCTTGTAGCTCCAGTTTTGATATTATGGACAAGGATGATATTATATTGGATCAACCTCATAACATGTTCTCAACATGTTTAATTGCAATATACTCCTAGAATATACTCCTAGAATATACTCCTAGAATATACTCCTAGAATATACTCCTATAAATGTTTTGATTTCTTAAAAAGCTGACTAGATTACTTTGAAACAGAATGTTTATGAAATTAGAAAATGAATATGTAGAATTGTTTTTATTTTCCCTATCTAACAAAAAAATATTTTTTTATAGCCAGTGGCGCAACTAGCACTTCTGTGAGTGGGGGGGGGGGCGGGGCCGAAATTTTATTT